AATGAGAAAGAGATAATTCCTTAGGTTTACTTCCTACTCTTTTTGAACAAACTTTGGTGTCTTAAGGCTTTTGCTGTGTTATTCTAAGGATGAAGATTGAAACATCTGATTCTGTGTATCTATCATGCTAGTGTTTATATGTGAGATTTGATCTCCAGTTAGGAGATCAATCCAAAAGGGATGTAGTGTGGATTCAGGTCGCTGTGCATACGTGTCTAAAACCTGTAAAATTTCACAGAATATTTGGTCTAACATACAGAAACATACAGGTCGCCTACAAGGCAATTTCCTTGGCAAGGCAATTCAAGGCAGGTCAAAAACTATCTGTTCACCTTTTGCAGGCATCTTGGATAGTCTTAGGAACCTCAAACAGCAAAGGTACCTCTGCTTTGGGGCTTGTCCTGCTCAGTAGAATGCTTAGACAGGATGTAGCTCACCCAGAAGTCAAAATGCACATTCAAAGCTGAACTTTTCTCTATGAACCCATCACTGTATTGAATAAATTTTCATTGGCTCTACAGGGAGCTTAAGACACCTAGTAATTCAAATGTGTACCCCTAATATAGATAACTCTAGTCTGGAGCCACATCCCACTCCAGCACAGGGTTTGATTCATTAGTCCTTTCCTTCCTAAAACCCTGACACTGAAAGACTGTGCCAGAAAAACCTCAAAATGTAACAGCCGAGTATTCCGACAGAAAGTAAGTGCTTACTGGGAAGCACAGAGATGAAAATAATCACAGAGGACGAAAATTAAATTACTTAAAAGAACACCAAAAACTTTAGTGATGTTGTTCTACTATTCATTAAAAAACTGCAAAAAAAAAAAGCAGTGAACCTTATTGCACCAAGTTCCACTCCCTGATGTAAGAAAAACAAGCTTAAATCATTCAAAAACTCTGGTTAGAAGAAAGGAGAAAGAGCTTGTAGCATGTCAGTAAAAATAACAGATGTGAATTCTGTGAAACTGACAAATGTAGGCAGATAAAATAAGTTCAATTGCTTGCTTTCCACTAAAAATATGAATTGTTGAGATTTGAGTAGTAATAAAATGGGAATCTACATAGAATTCTGCATACTTCCAATGTAAACTGCAATAATAAAATTAAATAGCAATTTAACTGTCAATAAACCTAAGCCACTTTCTTCCCTGTATTAAAATACAAACCCCAAATATCTTCTTACCTGAATAATTTGAAAGTCTTGAGAAAAAGTCTGACAAGAACCTGCTTGTCATGACCTGAAATTAAGGCTGAGAAAATACCAAATATTAGTATTGTATATTTTTTCTAGTTGTTCACTTGTGTTTGACTTGTTCTGTTTTTCTATTTTTACCTTTTAATGAAAACAAACAAACAAAACAAAAAAACCACTCCAAAACAACAAACCAACCAAAGACAAACACTGAAGAAATATACTTCAAGATTCTAGTCTGGCATAGAAAAACAACCTGAGTGAAAGAGTCCTACAGCTGAGGTCAGTACTTGCTTGTTTAAAAGAAACATCCCTGAATCAATCTTTTCCTCTACTTCTCTCCCTTGCATGTTCCTGTCTCTCTCTTCACCCACACATTTGACCCACTAAACCTTCACAAGAATGGTATCTCTGCCAATAAAGGTTTCATAGAAAATGAAAGATTCTGACCAGGATTCCCCACCTTCTTTCACAGAATCCACATTCTTCTATCAGTCAATAAATAGAATCTCTCTTTCTCCAGTCTCAGAAACTTGAGTTTTGTCTAATGGTATTTAAGTACATAAATGGTAATACACTGAGTTATGTGGAAGGAAAGATTTAATCTTATGGAATGCTTGGTGTGGGCTGGCAAGAACCATTTGCCACTTGCAGAGTTCTGTCTGGGAGAACTGCAGGGTCTGTAACAATAGAATTAATGAATTAACTTGTTACAGATTTCATGAATTAGATTAATACAGAGAAAAAAATACAAGACTTATTGTGTGTACAAGTGTAGTCTCCAAAACAAACATAGAAAAAAAAATCTAAACTGCAACAAGAGATACTATTATACTGTGTGATTTCACATCATTGCTAATGAGCAACAGATTGGTAGAAGCATATTTAAAACTAAATGAGAATAATAAGAAGTCTGAGAAAAATCTTCTTCCATTATTCCAAATTAATAAGAAATACAAATAATTTTTAATAAACTGAATACAATGATTTTAAATAATTAGTATAAGATTCTTTCTTTCACATATAAATCTCCATCTTGGAGAAGATTTCATAATCTCTTAAATGTCCATGCTTGTAAGAAAAGTTTTCATGAGCACATAAAGAAAAGGAGCTGAGACATAAAAATACCTTTTAACTGGTACTGAATGAGCAAATATGGTTAAAATTTCTGCATTGCTTTTTCCTTTCTTCTTTAAAGATAATGAGCCAAGCCAGCTTACCTGATGTGGGTAAAGTTATATTGAATCATAGCTGCTGCAGTTGCTCTTACCTGTACTCACTAGTATTAGAAGCTGAAATCAATTAGTATTTCCTAAATACTCCAACTCTATCTTCTTTTTCAAGCTGTCTTTAATCTTGTATTTTTCTGTTCATGAAATAAAACCAAGAGATATATCCTACTGATATTTGCACAAACTGCAGAGAGAAGGGAAAATCCCAGTCTGCCTGGTTTTTTGGATATATAAGACTTGGCTGAATTGAAAATGATCAGCACCTGGGCACGTGTCAGTAGATGTTCTGAGGAGGATGTAACATGTGAGGTAGAAATGCAGAAATGTCCTAAGGGGAACTTATTTTGGTGTGACACTATGAGCAGATTAAAGGAAGGCCCAATCATGCTGTTTATCACCCCTAAAACCTCAATATGTGATATGGGTTTCACAGAATGTTTAATTTTCCCCTTTACTTCTCTCTCCTGGCCACAGTATTTACTGCTGAGAAACATTTGGCAGCTAGCTACATGTTAGGAATAAAACGTACTAGCATTCACTCAAAATGTTGCAAGGATCCTGACTCCACCATCCTCAAACAGAGGTAAAATTCTGTTTACGTAATTCTCATCTGAGTAATAGCACACAGATTTTATCTGAACATTAGTTTAATAAGGAATTATAAGCTTGGGAAGACCCACGGGAGATTGCTAATGGGTTATGATATGTAAAATGCCAGAAAACGTAAAACACATTGATAGTGCCACGTTGCGCTCACCCCTGCAGAGCAGAAATGTCACAATATGCATAAAAAGGCACAGGAAATACTGTTAATTATAGAGGTATTTGCTTGTGAAAAATTAAATATTACACTCAAAACAGAAGTTGGCTTCTCATGATCTAATAAGGAAATAAATGGGGGGAAAAACACTGCTCTAGGAAATGACTCTGAAAGTAAGCTGTGGTTACACTTCCAATCTGTAGCAACACAGAGCAATACCAGTGCTGTCGGTAGCCTGCATGAGAGGTACAAATGTTCCAATAACATTTTGGTGTGCTCACATTGCCAATTCCAATGAAATCTGATGGAGCAGCCATTGCAGGCTGTCTGGCCCTCAAGTGTGCCTCTATTTACTCAGCTCTCTCTCCTTGCCTTTGTGTGGATATGCATGTATGGGTCTACACAAACATCTGCATACGTGTATGTATGCTTATTAGAATGACTGGCTCAGCTTTCCAAGCAGCTGCTTTTGGTATTTGATCTGTATTTGAACTGACACCAGTTGATATCACACGTTCCATTGATGTCTCTTAGGAAGAGACCCGCAGAGACCTGTTACAGCCTGTCTGTACTGCACACTGCTCAGTGGGACGAGGCTGCTTTCCGAGCAGGTCCCCAAAGGCAGTACGTTTCTGCTGAAATCCCAGCAGTGCCTAACTTGGGGCACATCTAAAATACATATGCCAGTGGTTCACACAGCAGTCCGATGCAGAGACCTGATGCTGCAACCATGGAAGTCCCAGAGGAGAATCCATCTGGCATTTTCACTGCACAGCTTAATGCAAATTAATTGCATCACCTCTGCTGCCCGTGGAGGTCTGGTGGTCTGGTGCCCGTTCTCACAGTTTTCTTTGAGCATGCTGCGGCTGGCACTTCCTTCACATTTGCTGTCGTGACATTTTCAGGCTCGCCTGCTTTGGCAAGCACTTCACTCCTCGGTGTTCTCCAGGGAGGCAGGTGAAACCCAGCTCGAGGGACATTCCCGTCCCGGCGGTGCAAGAAGCGAAGGGGCTGTTGGCCGCGACACTGCACGCCCCGCTGGGACTCGGCCCTGCCCGGTGCTGCCCCGGGCTTATTTCACCCCGCTTCTCTCTCGAAGCCCCCAAGGTGGAAGCTATTCATCCAAAGAGCCGGGCAAAGCACGAAACCGGTGGCATGCTGCCCGGCGGTGCCAGGCGTGAGCCAGCCTCCCGGGGGGGCAGGAGTGGGCCGGAGCTGAGGGATGTTCGCCCGGGCACGGCACGCTCTGGACCCCTGCGCGCATTGCGTCCAGACCCCAACGCGGGGCTGAGTCCAAACAGACCGCAAATAATTATTGTTATTCTTGTTTTGCATTATTATTATTATATTACCCCCCCCAAACAAACAAACAAACATCCGTGTCCAAATTCTGTTATGCATCCCTGTCTCTGCACGTTGTATCTTTTTCCTACCATTTCTAAGCTCATGCATTTAACTTCTGTCACAAATTGTTAGGGAAATGAAAAGTAAAAGCGAGGAATTGGAGGTTGAGCAGCCTCATTCCCTCTGCTGCTCTATTACCAGTCTTGGCCGCGGCTCGGTCCCGTTAACGTCCAGGCCGGGCTGACCCAGGGGCGAGGCTGGGGCGGCGCAGGGGCGAGGGACCACCCGGCTAGAGGTTGCGCCGAGTGGCGCAGCCAGGGCAGAGCCTTTGCTGCGCCTCGGGAAGGAGCGTCGGGCGAGCTACCTGGAGCGAACCTCGCCTTCGGGCTCGGAGCGCGCCGGGCGAGGCCCCCGCGGAGGCGGACTCACAGAGCCCCACCGCGGCTGCATGGAGCGGGTCAGGGCTTTCCCAGATGCGGAGCGATGTAACAGCGAACTTTCTGCGGAGTCGAGGCTGCTCCTTGGTGCGTCTGCCCCCGAGCGGTGCCGGGCGGCGCGCGTTCTCGCCTCGCCGACGAGCCCCGCTGCAGCGCCCGCCGGGCGCCTTCTCGCTCCTCCCCGAGCGCGGCGCGGCGGCCGCTGAGCGCCGCGGAGAGCCCGCGGGGCCGTGCACTTAAATTGGGGCGGCGGCCGGGCGGGCGGGGGGCGGCGGGACGGCGCCCGCCGAGGCACAGCCTGCGGCCGGCTCAGGAGAGAGCGCAGCGGCGAGGACGGAGAAACCCGGCGTGTGCCCGTCCGCGCTCCTTCTGCCCGTTTTGGGGTGTCTTTCCTTCCTACCCGCGCAGCGTAGCCCGCGCTCCGGAGGGGACCGCCGCGTCGGGAGGAGCTGTTACTTTTTGCAGCCGGCATGAGGCTTCCCGGGGGAACAAGGAGACGCCGCGCTAAGCAACCGGGGAAGAACCTGCCTCTCATCTGTTGCAGCGGAACCCGGCGGCAGGCGCGGTCTCCCCGGCCGGAGGTGATGGGCTCCCGCTGACTCGTGGCGTGCGTCCGAGAGTGCCTGCATGTGTGGCAAATATGGAGAAAATAAAGTAAAAAATGTGGATAGTGCCTGAGATGGACGGCAGCCAGTGAAACAAAGCAAACGCGTTATGAAGGGATTTAATTTGCAAGCGGGATTGAGAAGGGTACAACTTCCATGGGAAAATGTGACCTGTTAGAACTGCTGTCGGAAGATGCCGGCTGTCAACGCAAGCACCTAAACCAAGTAAGTGCTCATCAACTTTGACCTGTCCTCTTTCTGAGCCTTTGATTACCTTTTTGACCCTCTGCAAAAAGAAGTGCCTATGACTGTCTAAATGTAACTTTTTGCGCCGACGCAAGCAGCCTAAAGCGACATCGTGCGCGCCCTTGGCCCTTGGTGGATAGTCCAGAGGAGTATTAGGATCTCTTCCTTCCTCTCGTATGTAATAAACGTATTTTTCCCTGGCAGCCGCTGCCGGGGGGAGCGGCATCCTTCGGTCGCTGGGTGACACCTGCGGCACAGCGGAGCGCCCAGGGGGCCGCTCCGCGGGGCAGGAGGAGGCTCCGCATCCGCCACCCGCGCTCCGCACCCGCTCCACGCTCGCCCCCGTAGCTGAGTGCCGCGGCCCCGGCAGCGCCGGACGGGAGTTCACATGTCGCGCACACACGGGTGCGTGCGGGAGCCGCGCCGCGGACCGGCCCTGGTCCCCACGGTAGTGGTGGCCGCAGCTGCGGTGTCCCCGCAGGGTCTCTCCCCGAGGGGACTCGCTCGCCGCCGGCGCAGTCCGCAGGAACCCTCCAGGGAAAGCGGGAGTACTGCCAGCCCCCAGGAGAGACCTGGAGAGGTGCAGGCGGCAGGAGCGGAGCAGGGTGACGTGGGCCATGGGAAGGCTCCTGGAGCAGAGGAAGGGGCTGGTGGGTTCATCCCCGTGTGGGGTTTACACGGCACGGCCCTGACGCCTGAGGTGATGGCAGAGAAGCTGTGGTCCTGATGGGAAGAAGCAGCTGATGCTCTGGAGGTTTAAATGCCGAGAGAAATTCAGCACTCTACCGAGTCACACAGCTGTAGTTGTGGCTACAGTTGTCAAAACCTACAGACTTGTTAATCGAATATTTCTCACTTTTTACCAGAAGGCATCATTTATGCACTTTTGTTTTACTGGACTTAGTTGAGTGACTTCCTGTTAGCATGGCAACCAAATTTTAGATTTCTCTACGCATGACTTGTGAGATGGCTCTTCCAACATTACAACACCTTTCAGGTGAAAGTAAATAAAAACACCTTCTATTATGTGTTTTTGTTATAGGTAATGAGTACTTCACAAGCAAAAATGGAAAAAAATAGGTAACAGAGATGCATATTGGTTTCATCTGAGAACTAAGTAGTTCTAAGAAACAGTGCACGTAGAGCTTTTCTTTAGAATGCAGAGTAGACAGAGTGGGAAATAGTTTAAGTTCTGCATGCTAAGTATCAACATTACAGTACTTTTAAGTCCAGTTTGCTTGAAATTTCAAATTTGATTGTATTGCAGTGACATGGAACATTTCAGTGTTTATGTTACTTGCTTCAAAGCCCACACCTGGATAGCTTAGCAAGGTTTTCTGTGCAAGCATACTGAATTTTCCATAAATCAGCCTTAAGGAATACTTTTGTGTACATTAAGGAAGCCAGGCACCAGTGAGAATGCTTTAGACCTGTTACAGATTAGCAGAAATTCTGGAAGACCTGAATTTATGCCCATTTTTTAGACAAGACTCAGAAATAAGCTCTATCCTTCAATATCAAAATAGCTGAAGCCAAACATGGTTTTCCTTTGGTGTTGCCTTCTACACTGAAAGGCCTTGGTCTTGTTTTCAGGAGGATGGCATTCTTTACTGTGTTTTTTTTTTTTTTTTTTCTCTTTTTGCTTCTGTTATTCCAACTTAGGAACAGATGAGACTCTATTTGGAAACAGGAAAACAAAAATATGTCTGTCTTTTAAATTTAACTTCAACCACTTACTCTGACTCTATGTATAGCAGTCATTGCCCTTAAAATAGCTCCAGAAAAAAATTCCATTTCTTCTTATCTCATGCTATTTAGAGGCAAATACTGCTAGCTGAAATTTAAGTGAAATTGAGGTCACTACAGATCTGGTATGATTTTGATTATCTTTTTGAGATATCTTTGCTTATCTACTGAAAATGTTGGGTCCTGACCAATGTGGTTCTGCTCTTGGTGACACTGGGCTTGCATTTCTTCAGCATGGAGAGACCACCAAGTGTATATTGAAGGACACACATAGAGAAAGCAGTTAAGGGATTAGCGTTCACCTTTGTCTGTGTGTGTGTGTGTGTTTATTGCCTGACTTAATTGACAAGGAAAAATGTGCATGACTGCTCCTCCAAAGACCTGAGACCTGTCTCCATACCAATACACTGTTTAATATGTCAGCTTTTTCTGGGATTTGATTCACTGGAGTGAGATAGCAAAACCAACAAGGAAAATCCTGTGGCGTCTCTGCTTGCCTCTGGTGGTGCTGGTAGTCAGTTTTAAAAGGGACTGAATTAATTTTGAATACGATGACTAAGTGCCCTTAACTTATCTTACAGAAAGGCAGAATAGAAGCAGGAAGAAAAGACTCTGTTATAACCCGTTTTAAGAAAAAGCAGATAAAAATAGATGAAGCATTGTTCTATTCAGACATTTAATGGCTTTATGATTGTCAGATTTATCATTACTTTCTCTATTCAGCTTTAAGTTGTGTTGGGTTATGTTCTTGTTACTTTCTCAAATATTATGTTCTTAATTACTGAAGGAAGGTTGAAGGTAAAACTTTGTGTGTAAATCAGTCTTCCATCACGATGTTTTGTGACGAAACAAAATTCCAGAAACCATCTGTTTTAGAAGTTCTGAATCATTGGGAAAGATAAGTCAAATTTGCCCTTGCTTTATTGCACTGGCGCTATTTTAAGTAGTATGGCATAGTGTGTGTGTAACACCAGCAGCAATGGTGCCAGGATCCTCATGTCCACTGTGATTTGTTGCTGGAAAAAAAAAAAAAAAAAAAAAACAAAAACCCTGACTAAATACATATTAATTAGTATAGTTTTATTAAGTGAATACAGGGGAAGGCTGAGCAAATTAAATCTTTCTGTAACAGATATGCATGCAGAAGCCCTTCAAAGGGGCATTACGTTTCAGTCAAACAGAATTTAAGACTTTCAAAAGAGGAGCAACTAAAAATAAGACAATTTCTTTGTACAGTGAAGTTCTCAAAGGAATTAAAAGGTTTTTAGTGTGCCACAATGACTAAAGTGGCCAGTAAATGACTTTGCTATTGTATCATGTTCTTCTTGGAGTTGTGGGCTCTTTTGGTTTCATTTGAGGTTTTTCTTCTCCCTTCAAAGGTCTGTTTTGGTTTATATTCTGAAATTACTTCTTCCACTGTTTTACAACTACACTTCTAGTTTAGGTATTGACTGGTGTGAGACAAAAACTGAAAAGAACCTTGGATAAAAATTACTTTTTTTTTACAGCTAAGGTATTTTTCAGCAAATGTGGGCTGAAGTAGGACAGGAGAACTTCCTTAAATTTGAGTGAATTGTGTGTTTGTCTAGGATTATGAACCAGTCAAATCTAATCTCTGAAGTTTGTGACAGTTTCTGCAATTTCTTGGCCACTGAGTCTGTGCTCAATACATTCATCTCAAAAGCTTCTGACATACTTGTGCGTGTCAGATGAAGCATTTGAATGTTGTGATTATATTATCTGGTATGTTATGCAGTGGGTAGAAAGGGGAACATTAAATGGAGAAACACTTTTCACTGGGCTTTTCAGGGAAAGAGGTTATGGGATTCTTCTGGAGATGCTTTCCGTACATATAATTGGAATCAAGATCAAGCAGCCTTTCCTCAGGAGGCAAAGGCCTCCATTCCACCACTGGTTCAGGGGCAGCCCCTGGGCAGCCAAGCCATGTGGTGGTGCCCTTAAGCTCTTCCAGTCCTAGCTCAGCATATGCTGATTTTCCATGCTAAAAAAGATCTTTCCATTTAGTTTTGGTTTTTTAGAGCGGTTCTGATACCAATGTTAAGGACCACAAGTCCATCCTTCCTTGGCTCAGAGAATCAGAAAGATTATGCTACCTGTGTTCATACCCAAGACCCTACTGGCAGAAGAAGTCCTGGGCTCCTCATGTCCTTAACACTGGTATAGAAGGTGCCAACTAGTCAGACAAAGCACAGATCAGTTGACTGAGAGCTGGCACCTAGAGGACTCCAGATCTTGTAGCACTCAGGCTGACCTGTTGTGGCTACATTTGATAACCCTGAACTGACATGGAATACCTGTTTGCCAGCTGTCAGGGTGAACCTGGAGTGTCTCTCTTCCTTTCCTGGAAAGAGAAGGACTGAAGCAGAGAGCAAACCATCCTCTGTATTTTGTCATCTGTTTTGTAACAGAGCAAGCCTCCTCCACAGGTGACTGTCTCTCTCTGTTAACCATGCAGCAAATGCCAAGACAAGGAACCTTCCTTCTTAAGACAGATTTGCTGAATCCCAGCTGTGCAGAGCAGGCTGTGGTAGTACTTCATAAAGGTTGAATAAGCACAGAGATCAGTAGATACAGGATAAACGGCTGCTATAATAATCCTAAAATGTACATTAAAAAAAAAAGAAAAACCAAAAAACCAAAACCATTCATACACATACATGTGCTCCAAGCTGCTGTGCTAACTTTTAAAAAATCTGTAAACAGCATGAACTCATATCTTCTGGAAGTTTGCCAGCTGCCACCTCTGCAATCCAGCTTCCTTCCACAGAATTTTTCAAAACATAGAGTCTTATGCAAACTGTCTATAATAACTACTTAAATTATAACTACTTAATAACTAAAATTTTTGTCACTTTTCAGCTCAGGTGTCTGGTTGTCATGTCTGTCAGAGAGAGGCAGCTGCTGCCAAAGAACCCAGAAACTCTGTTAGTGATGGTTAAATAGTGGGGGTGATTATTAACCCAGGTAATGAAGCATGAATGGGGCATTAATGCAGCTCTGTATTCAGCCCAAAATGCATGGGGAGAAGTTGGCCTGGCCTGAGAGCCTCTCACTCCTTGTTACATCTCACATCTCCTAAAGAGATGGAGGCATTCTGCCAGTAAGGACATTCCTGCAGTCAACTCTTTGTGAGATTCACTGAGAATTTAAATTTCTTCTTCTAACTATCATTTACTTAAAGTACCCACTCACTGGGTATCACTCACCCACAT